GATTCAAGAAGAATCACATTCTCTGTGCATTGTCTTCGGCTGCTCCGAAGATTGCTGTTCGAATTGGTTTATGGCACAGCTGACACAGCTACACTTAACTGGGCTGATTTCTAGAGTAGCTCCAAAAAATAAAGTAATCGGAGCTGAATGCTGGACAATGAAGTTGTGGGAGCTGCTTGAAAAAACTCAAACAACTCTTTGTCAAAAGAAAAACATCTAAGCTTACCGACTTTTCTGAAGCTTCAATCTACTAATAAATTAGGTTGAGGTTCTTCTTACTCAAAGTATCGAGCGGTATTGTAGAAGAGTAACTAGAAACTTCTATGAGCGAATGAAGCATAAGTTTGATTGAAAAAAGTTTTACTATGAACTTTTAAATGGTTTCAATTTTATTTTCAAAAGATTTCATAAAACATTACTGTCATTAAAGTGCTTTTTCCATAGCTTATACTACCCAAGCAGCTACGCTCCATGCAAATATATTTCATAAGAAAACTTTTCTATAATTTATTTTCAATTTAAGAAGCTTTCTTAAAAACAGCTAAACTGTTTACAAATATGCGTCACATGAAAGCTTTTGAAGCCTAAATTTTATTATGAACACATATGAAAAAGCTTAAATGTGCTTTTTATTGTGCAAATATATTCAAATATATTTTATATTTTATGTCCTCTAAAGTATGCTTTGTCAACTTTAGGTTTGTTATAGGCTCTATTCCAAAAGTAGTTTAAACACTGTTTAATATATATAATATAAATGACATTTAATCAAGCTTTAAGCTTTCCTTCAGAGATATTTTTTGAGCTGCTACTAGATTAAAAGCATTTATAAATATATTTTTCTTAATTCACACTAAAAGATAATAGTTTAATTTAAAGCGCATTAAGCGCTCTAAGCTCTAGATTACTTTCCCATTAAAGCTTTCTACAATTTAACGCTGACCTTTGTTTGGCTTCAGCTCCAATGAAAACTCTCCAAAGCGCTTAAAGTAATATCACACTCTCATTTTCGCTAGCCAATAATTAAGTTAGGAACTTAATATCTCATTCCCATTCTCAGAGACACAATCTTGACTACAGATCCAAAACTGGGTTGCAGAAATTGCAAGTTGAGTTTTCGACTAATATTCCAAACTTAATTTGGGACTTTCGCCGTTTTCGAGCGATCAAAGTTAATTGCTTTATTAATTTGTCTAGCATTTCTTTCTCTCAGTGTAGCTTTTGACAAAAATTATGTTGTTGGGGCGTAATTGTTGGCCCCGTTACGTTAAAGCCGCCCCAAATGGCAGTTGAATTGAGTTGGAGTTCTTGAACACACTCGACTCGAGTCGTGTAAGACAATTGCTCCCACAGCCTCGTGGCACACAGCTTTCTTTGATTTTGATATTGGCTTTTGTTGCCTTTATGCATACCCTGTATGACAGAGAGGGTAGATTAGGTTTGTTTAAGTGTGGCACAAGGAGATGTGACTCCCAGAGGGTATAAATATTCTAATTCATAAGCAATAGCCGAGTAGATTTAGACCACTCGCTCTTGCTGGCCAGTGTCCTTCCGTTCCTCATGTCTGTGCCTTCATTTACTTGTCATCCTTTTGTCTATGTCTCTTCCCATCTATATGTTCGTCCATCCATTTTATGTATTCCTCTAGTGACATTCGATGTAGTGCCTTCCGTCTTTACAGCTCATCAGTATAGCCTTTGAACCGTCCATTAATCCTTTCATTCATCTGCCATAGGTCCTTCTGTACGTCTGTCTAGCCATCAAGGCTTGGTATTTAGATTCCCCCAATAAGAAGTTTCCCACAGTTTATATACAGCAGTTCGCCTCGTTGTTCAGGGTATCTCCCAGGCGAGCACTCCCCACTACAGCTTGTTTCTTTCATAGCTTGTAATAACTGTAATTTATTTACGAGCTTTACACACGTTCTGAAAACACAGTTGAATTGTGTTTCTAATAATTCTTCTCTGATATCTAAATATATAACTAAACTGTAATTAAGTTGAAGTCGTTTTTCAGTTTCTCAGTTTTTCCAGTAGCTTTTCAGCAGCTGTCAGCTGCAATTTTCCTTGGCAAAGAAAGTGCCAAATTAAGTGCTTAAGCAGCCCTAGGCCAACAGCTGAGCTCGACTAGAAGAGTGTTCCAAAGAGAGTGTGGGAGAGACAGACAGAGAAGGAGAGAGAGAATGATAGCTCTTTAGAGCTGTTTCTCTTAACTCTTTGACTTTGGTTTTTTTTGGTTTTCATGGCCAAGTGAATTCAATTAATGACAACAGTCAAAATAAAAGTCAACTGCAGTGATTTATTGTGTGAAACTGAAACTTCTTCCTCTGCTTAGATTGTTTATTTTTAATTTTATTTTTATTTTTTTATTTGACTTGTTTCAGCTTCTGCTGTTGGCGTGAAAGTTTCTGTTTCGATCGTCTCAGTGCGCCAATTCAGAGGCTTTGACACTAAGATAATAGCTTGATTAAAACTTGTCATGAGAACGAACCGGCGAGTCTTTACCATGCCATGCCGAGCCATGAGAGCTCCAATTAAGCGCACTTCTCGATCAATGCTCAGTGTCTGCCGCCTTTTGATGGGGTATGCCAGACTAGCTGTGCCAATTTGTAACACATGAAGTGGAAGAAAGAGTTTTACAAGCAGTCGCTTGCACTGAATGTTGTCCCAGAGGGCATCTAGTTATGCTCTCCATCTGGAGTCAACATTTGGCAGGTTAGGGTATTTGAGATTCGAGTTGACGCTGAGCAGAGAACATGCACAATGTTTCTTGTGCCATGTTCTGCATTTGCATGCAAGTTTGTCGGGCTCTGCGCTGTTCTGCTCTGCTAATCACGTTCTTAATGAAAGTGGATGCTGTGCGCATGCAGTGCTGCCTGTCGACCACTGTTCGTGGTTTCGTTCTGGCCAGCTGCAGCAGCAGAGGCAGAGGAAGCAGACGACTATTTGGCTCTTTCACTGGCAATGACCGCCATTTGCTTTGGCTCTATTTGATTTTCACGTTTGTCGCTTCGTTCGTTTGTTTGTTTGTTTGTTTTGACAATTCGCATGCAACACTTTGCCGCGCTGCGAGCGGCTCTGGATGCTGTGCTGATTCCGATTCTGATTCTATATTCTGGTTACCAGTTCTGCCTCTACTTCTCCTTCTTCTTTTTCATTTTCTCTTTTTTGCCATTTTTTGATTGATAAATATTATTTATAGCTGAGTTTCGTGTCTGCTCAGCTTCCCAGCTGCGATTTTAATTAATATGTTGTTTCCTCCGAGAGAGCTTCTCTGGCCCAATTCTGTCCATCTCCCAATTTGTTTATACATTTTATGCGCGTGTGTGAGTGCGCCTCTGTGTGTGAGGGGAAACACTTAGCAAATGTAAACAAACCCATAAAGTTGCGAAAATTATTGCAATTAGATTAAGTGCTTCGGAAAAGTGGAAAACAGCGCAACGCATAGGAAGTACATAAAGGAAATGTTAATTCATGATATGTGAGATGTTGGCAGAAGGGGTAAGGGCAAAGATCGGGCGAAATGAGTTTTCTTAAGAGAAAAAGAAAACAAAGATGAAACAGAATGGATTTTCATTCAATGAACTTGGTGTCCTATCGTAAATAAAGCGGTTTATATATTAGATGTTGTATAACTGCACAGAGGAACGCCTTCAAGATTCTAAGAAATTTTACTCATATATTGAATAAGAATTTAGCTTAAACAGAAACTGCTCTGAGTGAACGAGATACAATTTTAAGAATTGAAATTAAATATATTTATATTGCTAAGCAAAATTTGCCGTAGTCTTATTATGCATGGCCGTCTGTCCATGAATACTAACAGCAAATGATGTGAGACCTATGGGAAAATCCGTATATTCCATCTAACTTTAACTATTTTGTAAGCGCTGATGTCTAACTTCAGCAATCTTATTTTAAAAATATTTAAGAAATATAAGTAAATTAAATAACTTATATATAAAAATACACTAATTACTATAGATCTGTTTTTTAATCTAACGAAAACTATTTGTCGAAATTAAAATAAATATATTTCAGTTGCATAATATGCGATGTTTCGCAGTATTACAAAATTCGATTGAAAAAGTTTTATAATATCTAAGCAAACTCAATCCAGGGGCAACGAACTCGAATAAGCAGATTATTATTGTCTTAATTTACACTTCTTTGCTCAATTATATTAGAAGAAATTATGAAAAAACGTAGAAATAAATTCCATTTCTCATTAGACAAAACAACGCAATGGCTAAAAAGTTTCTACCAAAAATTCCTAGATAAAGCACGAAATGCCAAAAATGTAGATATTTATCTAACACTTAAGACGGCAGAAAGCGTTAGTTAAATTAAATTTATGCTGCCCAGTCATTATGCCATTATGATACATATACAAAGTACTTGCTTATAAGGCAGTCACTCACCTGAACCCCAATCTTTACCTGTCTCTCTCGCCCTCTCTCGTTAACTCTTTCTTTTTCTTTGTCTTGCAGCTCACAAATTTCTTTTGTAAGCGCTTCATTAAAAGTGTGGCAGAACGACAAACGACGACGACGACGACTACGACCACTAGGAGGAGGAGGAGGAGGAGCGACAACAACCTGTATCATTTGCTAAGTGCTGCTCGCGACAATTGTGCGGGTAATTGCGAGTCTTTGAAAATTTTTGGTCTGTTTTGATGCGCGTATGCCCTGCTCTGGCTGTGGCTGTGGCTGTGGCTTAGTTGCCGGCAGAAGCTTCGATTCGCTTGTCATTGGAAAGTTGTTGCCGCTGCGTGACACACATTTCACGCATTAGACACGAGCCTACCGCCAGCTGGCAGTTGGACCTGGACTCTGGAGTCGGGAAGCCTAAGACTAGACTTGCTTTTTCTTAGAGCCCGCACTGCCGTACAGCGCGCTGCTCGAACCACCTTCTTCGACCCTCCGGCCCCGCCCCCTCCTTCGCATTATCTTTATGCGTGCAACGGCCCGAGGAGGAGCAGCCGCAGCAGCTGGCCCAAAGATGACTCTGCGCTTAGTCAGCATATTATCGCTGGCATTAATTTCTGTATTGCCCGCACAGTTGGATGCATTTATCACGCAGAATACAGGTGAGTTACGATACATGAAATAAACAACAGCAAGAAGCGTATCAAATAAGTTAACGAGCGGATTTATAGGGCAGCAGAGGGAGCCCAAGGGAGAGCCAAGATTTCGCTTCTCAGTTAGTGAAACACTTCTTAGGCCTTTGAGTTCTTTGGAAGGACATGAAATGCAGTTAACTTAAACTCTTTTCATAATACTAATGAAATGTTAAATATAAGCCTTGCCTAGATCAACCAATGCTTATGATCCTTCAGACTGGGGGCTGGGCAGATGGACAAACAGACATGGCTAGATGGACTCAACTCGTCATTCTGATCGAGAATAAATATCATTTATGGCGTATGCCACGCCTTCCTCCGCCCATTTTCATAATAGCTGTATAGCCATTTGCCAAGGGTTCAGGGCATGCAAATTTTGTCGCCCAGTTGATGGATTTTACTGAGATTGACTATATAAGTCCCTAGTTAAAGGATTATGTAAGGCAATAAGTCTTTGTTACTCTTCCATTAATATGAATAAAAATATTAATTTCGATTGCTAATCGAAGAAGTGTCAGAAGTTGTAGATCAACTCAGCTCAGCTCAGTGAGCCTTGCTTCGCTAGGAGAGGCAAAGTTTATCGGAATTTCAAAACAAATCAAAACTCCGCACAGTTCACATCGTCGTTCTATAGCTTGAAATATAAATCGCTGAATCGCAAACTAAAACTTTATATACATACATACATACATATATAAGTTAACTTATAACACTTAGTTAGCTTATAACACTTAATATAAGGTATTATTCAACACTTATTATCGGGTGCTAGACAAGTTAAGGAACAGCCCTGGCAAGAGCAACTCTACTTACGCCGGTGAGGCTATGATTTGTAAAAATATAGATCAGTCTCGTGTTTTAACTCGTACTGATAGGACATGCTAAAAATTGGTGTCATATAAGTAAAACTAAAAATAGTGAATATAATAAGAAAAACCAATAAAATTAACTGTTTCGATTATTCAAAAAAGAACAATTAAAAGCAGGGTTAAAAAGCGTTCTTCCAGTAAACCGCTTAAATAAATATTCACTCCGTCATTTGCTCGTTAAATGGCTTATTTCATTGTCTGAGCCCGAGGCCAGCAATAAGAGGCACAGTCGCCTCTCAACCTAACTTTCAGTCACCACAGGACTGGAAATCATATAATTGGCGCCCAACGTGGGGCCGGACAGAACACTTATCGCATTAGTGCCAGAAAGAAGCTATACGCACCCATACCAGGTCTCTCCGAGCAGCAACAGCAGCCAGTGCCAGCTGTTGATCCCTTCCAAGCACCGCCATATCCCACACAGCCATCGGCAGCGGCGGCAGCAGCAGCATTCGAGCAGCCTGCACCACCAGCCGTTCAAGAGGAACGCAAGAGCGGTGGTCTCTTCTCACTCACTAGTCTAGTGCCCACTGGCGTGTTACAGAATATTTCGGGTCTAGTGCAATCGGCCACAGGCAGAACCAACGAACCTGCGCCACCCCCACCAGCCAGCTACAATCCAGCTGATTCTGGTGGCTACTTTGACATAAGCACATCCGGCGCTGCCGTACCGCAGCCGCCTGCAAACTTTTTTACGCCTGCAGCTCCGCCTGCTGCTGCTGATTATTTTTCGCCCACTGTAGCACCACCCACTGTAGGTGGTTACATCAATCCTTCCGTAGTTGCTGCAGCTCCGTCTGTTGGTAACTTCTTTACGCCAGCACCAGCTGTTTCTGGGCAATCAACCGGTGTTCAGCCAACGCCAGCCGCGGTACCACCGACATTTACTCAGCCTGGGGCAACTGCTCCGCCAGCGACATACGCTCAGATTCCGACAGTCACCCAAGTAGCCACTGTCCCTCAGCCACTGACAGCTGCTCAAGCACCTGGTTTAATCGAGAGTACTCCAACGTTTGCACCGCCATCAGTGGCTGCAGCAACTCCCCCACCAGCGGCAGTAGCAGCACCACCACCAGCGGCAGGACCTGCACACTCCTCGTACCGCCTGCAGAAGGGTACCAGACTCTACAAGAGTCCACTGACAGCTCAGGAAACTGCAGTGCCCGCAACAGGCTTTGGCCAGCAAACAGCTTTAACAGCCACGCCCTTTGCACCCTTCGCAGCACCTGCTGCTATTTTTAATCCTTTTGGAGCACAGCCTACAGAAGTTGCCCTATTTACAGCGCCAGCTCCGTCAGCTGCACCAGCGCCAAGCCAGGAAGTTCCTCTGTTGCGGCTGCACCACCCCCAACTGGGCCAGCAACATCGCTGTTTACACCACAGGCATCGACGGGCCTCTTTCAGACTCACGAAGCAACTACATCGCTTTTTGCACCAGCACTATCCGATACACTTCAGGAGGTTCCTCTCTTTTCCAGTCCGACTAACGCAACACAAGGACTTACACCAGATACAAGCAACAACCTTTTTAAGTCACCGACTCAGAGGGAAGAGCTAAAGAGCTCTTCAAATCAAAATCAGGAGGTTACACTATTTGCACCACCGTCAACTGCACCTGTTTCGGAAGTTCCATTATTCCCAACATCACAGAGTTTGCCCATATTTTCACAAGGACCAGCAACAGCTCTATTCGCACCACAGTTGGATGCTAAGCCAGAACCACAGCAGGCAAATCTACAAGCGGAATCGTTGAGGAAATCCCCTTGTTCACGGCACCACCACCAACAGTAGAAGCAACAACTAACGAGTTCTTCGCGGCGGCAGAGCCAAGCGACTCTTCATCCATACTAGAACCAAGTCAAGAAATCCCCAAAACACCGCCAACTGCATTAATTCAAGAAGTTTCACAGCCACAGGTTGCTCCAACCGCTGTCCATCTCTGTCGGCACCTTCCACAGCTGCCGGCTCATCCTCATCCTCATCGGCAGCGGCGTCACGTCAACTGCAGCGGCCGGCATTGTCGGCAGTTGCCGCACGGCAACAGCAGCTACTGCTGAACGGCTCGCTGAAGAGCAAGACGAAGACATTTCCTGCGTATCGAGCATCGGTGCGCAGCGAGAGCGACGACAAGGAGTACAGGGCGCCTAGCAAAAAGTCGGCCGGTGTCGCAGTCGCTGGCAGCCAAGATCAGCGGCAAGAACTGTAACAATCTGCTGCACAACGCCGGCAATAAGCTAAGCGTGAGCAGCAACTCCTTCGGCCTATACGCAGCATCTGGCATCATCGCCCAAGAGCCCTGTCTCCAGCAACGGCCATCTGAACAAATACTGCCTGACGGACTTGACGCGCCGCAAGGCCGAATTCAATCGCCAGCTGAGCGCGCCGACAGACTACACACATCACTCGTCCAGTAACGGCTCATAGCATCGCTGGAGTGGTGGGACACAGTCATCACGGCCATCACGGGCACGTGCACGGCCAGTCATCGACGGCGCCAGCCACACTCAAGTCGCTGCAGCTGCACAACTTTGGTGTGCATCATCCGATGCCAAGGCTCACGTCCACGTCGGGCACCAACAGCTTCAACAGACGCCACATACGTAGGCGCAAGAGCAAGCTTAGTAAGCGCCTGCTGAACGGCGATAGCGAAGAATCAGTACGCTGCTCATACTGCTCCGTATTGAATGTGAATGAGAACGACTTGCGGATTTCATTCGAGAACACCTGCACCGACTCGCTGGTCACCGCTGCTAATATGCGACCAAGGAACCGAAATGGTGCACTTTGATGATGTGTCGTTGTACGGCACTCCGAAAGAGGAGCCATATGCTGTGCTTTAATCTGCATTGGCCTCACTCTTTGGTGGATCATCGACGCAAAGAAGTCCGCGAAGCACTTGCGAGGAGTCGTCGCTGGAATTGGGTCGGTCGAGGACGACCTTACACTTGAGGGGGGGGTAGTTAACTTATAACACTTAGTTAGCTTATAACACTTAATATAAGGTATTATTCAACACTTATTATCGGGTGCTAGACAAGTTAAGGAACAGCCCTGGCAAGAGCAACTCTACTTACGCCGGTGAGGCTATGATTTGTAAAAATATAGATCAGTCTCGTGTTTTAACTCGTACTGATAGGACATGCTAAAAATTGGTGTCATATAAGTAAAACTAAAAATAGTGAATATAATAAGAAAAACCAATAAAATTAACTGTTTCGATTATTCAAAAAAGAACAATTAAAAGCAGGGTTAAAAAGCGTTCTTCCAGTAAACCGCTTAAATAAATATTCACTCCGTCATTTGCTCGTTAAATGGCTTATTTCATTGTCTGAGCCCGAGGCCAGCAATAAGAGGCACAGTCGCCTCTCAACCTAACTTTCAGTCACCACAGGACTGGAAATCATATAACTTATATATATATATTTATATAGATAAATATATATACATGTACATATATATCTATGCACTCGAAAGTTTGTAGTTAAGAGAAGAGACCCCCAGCTAGCACTTCGGCAATGTGGACACAATTGGGACAACAGGAGCCGCTGCCCTATCGGACGACCGTGTATTTGCCCATACCTCAAGAGAGCGTGGTATCTAATGCGATGGCCACCAGTGTGCTGAGCATGCCATCCATGGCACCTGCACAGGCCTTCGTTGTGGTCACCAGTCCACAGGGCAATCACATACAGCCCTATCTGCAGCCGCAGCTGCAGCCGCTTCCCATGTGGAGCACCGTGGAGCAGCCTTCACTGAAGCAACAGCAACAGCAGCAGCAGCAGCAGCAGCAGCAGCAACTGTTGCCACATTCTTCCGATTCGGAGCAGGATCAAAAGCTGCCAAAGAAATCGCCAACTAAGAAGCTTTACCGTTATGGCGCCTCACCTGAGATGCTCAAGTCGGGTTCGGCCTTCCCCTCGTACTATGCTGATCCCCACAAGATGTCGCATCGCTTTTGCACGAATCAATAAGAGGAAGAGATTCAAACGGATAACAAATAACCATATAAAAAGTCGCAAAGCGGAAAGAGTATTCAATGCTCTTCTGCAATATCCTTAGGACGTTGAGTATAAATAAATCTTGAGCATATTGAAAAGCTACTTGAGGTTTTATTGCTGGTACAAACAATAGAATTGATATTGAATGGATAATGGATAATCCTATATCAACGGATAATCCTGTATTTATAGCACATATCCATATTTCTTTTAACTAGATATCAAAGAGTATAGGCATCGCATTTCATTGATCAGTAATGACAGATGGATAACGGATAGTTGGATATTCAGAAAGATAGACATATATATTATATTGTTTCTGGATCTTGAAGGGCCCCATATTGCAAGCATCGATAGGCTCTAGAATTGTGGGGCACTCGTTTAGGCTTAGCTTAGCAAATTTCGTTGTTAGGCAGCGGATAATTATATGGCATTCAGGTAGACATCGGATAACGGACCATATGTCATTCAGGTAGACAATTTATATTTTCCTTTCAGTGGTTGTCCTTAAGACAGACAAAGACTCTTTTTAACCTATCTCCCATGCTTGGCAGGCTGTCATCACAATGGAACTTGGTATGCGGATAAATCGGTGGTGCCCAGCATGGAGAAGTGCCTCAATTGTCAGTGCAACCGCAAGACTCTCGTCTGTCGGCTGAAAGTGTGCCCGGAAATGCCGATGCCACCGCCTAGGGGCTGTGTGGTTGTCCAACGAAAGAACAGCTGCTGTCCCTATTTGTCGTGTGCTCGCTTGGATGCCTTCTACAAGATACCGACCAAGCGTCGCATCATCGCCTACCTGGACCACTACGAACGCGAGTCGATCGACCGTGTGGTCAATGACAACATGCTGCAGAGGCGCTCAGATGACTCCGACGTGGACTTGCTTGGTAAGCTCCCATTTCAGAGAGCAACGAACTCATTTAACCAACCTTCTCCTCCCCTTAGTGTGCGTGAAGAATGGAACCGTGTACAAGTCGGGATCGGCCATGTCCTCATCGAATCTGTGCAGCTATTGCTACTGCATTGGTAGGTGAAAGACGATTTCAATTAGTGGGAACAGTTAGTGGCAACATTTATTACGAGGAATCATTGGGAACACTAAATGGGAACATTTAGAGTGAGCAAATAGAACGAGCAGTGTAAGCAGTTATTGGGAACAGTTTGCGGCAAGCAGTTCGTTTAAAAAGTGTTCAGTTTGTGGGTACAGTTTAGTGTAAGCTGTGCTTGGGTATAGCTATAAATAACTAATGTCAACCAGAATCGAGAACAGTTGGTAGGAAGAGTTAAATGGAACAAATAATTTACGCAGCCAATGGGAACACATATATATATAGCTGCTAGGAAGAGATACTGTGTGCAATTAGTGGGAACGTTTTTTGGAAAAAGATATGAAATGAGTAAGAATGAACATCACGAACAAGTGCAGTAGAAGGCACAAAGAAAGTGGGAACAGCTATTGTGAATATAAAAAAACTAAAGTGTCTCTCCTTCTTCACTTCTCAGGTGGCAACGAGAAGTGTGTGAAGCCCAAGTGCATGCTGCCCGTGGACGGGTGTAAGCCCATATTCGTGGACTCCACCTGTTGCCCCGTACGCTACGATTGCAGCAGTAAGACCTCGGGCAAATCCTCACAGGAAGTGCGCTATCGAAAGAACTCGAACAAGCACTTCCAGCGCATGTCGCAGCGCTTGCAACGGAATCGCGGCTGCACCGTGGGCGCCCAGTTCTACGCGGAGGGCCAGAAGATGCGATCGGACACGGACAAGCCATGTGACATCTGCTTCTGCATAAGGGGCACGCGTCGCTGTGCGCCAAAGAAGTGCGCGCCAGCCTTGAAGAATTGCATTCCAGTGGTGCCGAAGGGTCAGTGCTGTCCCTCCAGCTACGATTGCGGCAGCCAGCGGGACTATCGCCGCTCGCAGAGCTCCCGCCAATTCAATCTCTACAATCTGCTCTTTGGCAAAGAAGAGCAGGAGGCAGAGGCAGAGGCAGCAGCAGCTGCTGCTTTGATTCCACAAAATTCCATGGCCGAGCACTATCCACTCGATCGGCATCCCACTGAGCCACCCGTCGGCAATCCGCTGCAGGTCAGCAACGAGAAGAGCATCTTCGATACGCTGCGAGAGGGTCTCGAGTTCATCGATGGCAACAACAACCAAATGCTGGCCAACAACATGGATTTGGTGGGCAGCACACCCACTGCCAGTCCGCTGGTGGCTGAGCTGAGCAGCACCACAGAGCTCAGCTTCCTCGATCTGCTGCTCGGACCCAGCACAGAACGTGCAGCGCCCATAACGCCAGAGGCCACGACTGAAAAGAAGAAGCCAATGTCCTGGATGGACATACTGCTTGGACCCGATGACGAAGAGCCAGCTGTGGCAACTGAGCCAATCGCTTCCATAGAAGCCAGCCCCACCGTGGCACCAGCAGTGAGCAGCACCACTGAACGCAGCATTGAGCGCATTGCAGATGATTTCGGTGACCAATTGGCTGAGGGCGAGCTTGCTGTGGGCGAACTCCCAGCGGAGGCGCAACACAACTGGGCTCGCCCCACTGAGCCACCAGCTAGTACCACAGCACAGCCAGCTGATCTATTCAATGTGCTGCTGGATGGACTTTCTGTCATGCTAAATGATAATGTCACCAGCAGCACTTCCACAACAACAACAACGAGCACCACATCGACTAGGAAACCCTTTAGTACACGCGCACCACCCATGTTCCGCCCACTGCCTAGCAGCAAACCACACCACACACGCATTAACTCCAAGCTGGCTAATCTAACAGTGACCCCACCGATGGTTCTGGTCACCAGCAAATACGGTCAGCCAGTCACCTACAGAACAATGCCCAGCAAGGGCACCACCAGCACCCCCAGCACAACAACAAGCACAACTACACCCAAGTCAATTCCAGCGAATGTTACTAAAACAAGAACCACAACAACGCATAGACCCACACCCACAGCAACAACAACAACAACAACTACCAAAGCCAAGCCAAAAACCACCAGACGCACCACAACAACCACTAGCAAGCCAACAACAACCACCACCACCCCCATTACTACAACCACAGCAAAGCCCACATCCGCAATCCCTCGAACAACTTTCCGACCCACATTCAAGCAGAAGCAGACACCACCATACATCACCAGCACCACCAAACCACTGATCATCAAAACGAATCCGAGCATTTTGGAAGCGGAACCTTTGGACGACGCGGACAGCACGGCGCCCACACTGCCGCCCAGCCTGCCCAACCTGAAAATCATACCCTTTCTGCCAACCGACGCGGTGGATACAAAACCACCAATACCACCACCCGAAGTATTTAACAGCCACAGCTACTATCAACAGCCAACGGGTCTGCATGCCTCACAAGTCGCCTCCGATAGAGTGGACAACGAGTACGATGTGGCTTACGTCGATCACACACAACACAGCAGCAACTTCAACCACAACCAGCACAACAACATCCACAACAACAACGATCAGGCTGCCTACAAGTACAAATTCAATGTGGAGGTTCCCGCTGTAGAAGCACCACCGGAGCCCGTGGTGCATGTCATTGGCAGCGCAGACTATGTCAAATATGATTTCAATGAGCAGGTGGTGCAGCCACCAGTGCACAGTGGCTTCTCGCCACCCACCGAAACCGAGGGCGGCTTCATGCCCAAGGAACCGCTGGTCATCGACGGCGAAGTGCTGCAGGACCATGTCACATCGAATGTCCTGCTGGGCGATAACTATCATGTCACGCAGCATATTATCGATATAACAACGGAGAGGGAGGACAATGATACGGCCTCAATCGGTAAGTTTGATTGATGGATTGACTGATGGAATGAACACATATAACACATATGAGATATATTGAGACATATAGATTTTATGTTGAAGAGAAGCAAAGACTCCTTTGCTAGATTATCTCAAAATTGTTGTAGATTTATCAACTGATTGATTCAATGGCTGATTGATTGATTGATGTGTAAAGCACAACTCAAGCTGAATGAGTTTTGACAGTAAGCTTTGAAATGATAGAATTTCCATAGATCTCAAAACTAATTGACTGCTTGATTGACAGATTGAGATATTTGTATTGATTGATTGATGTGTCAAAGAAAACTTACATTATAAAAGCTTAAATACTAAGCTTAAGTTAAAGACAAAGATTTTTAAGTTATAATGAGAATTTCAATAGAGCTCACAAATAATCAACTGATTGACAAAGTTATTGATATATTTGCCATGCTTGATTGAATGCTTGATGTCTGAAGCACAGCAAAATCCATAGTTGGTGCAACGCAATATTTGTTTTATATTTATCTTGAAATAAAATATGAGTTCTATATGGTTGATGCTCATTTCAATCATTGATTGATTGACTGATTGCTGTGAAATGCTGTTGAGCTGAAGTGCTACGTCAATCATTGAGAAATTGAGAAGCAATTCAGGCTCCGCTTGCCATAAAAAGGGGAATTCTTAAGTTTGCAACTGATTGATTGGCTACTTATTTGATTGACTGACTAATTGTGAGATCGATGATGCCTAAAGCACAACTCAAGGTATTCAAAAACAATTTCTCTTGAGGTTGCTCGGACATAGAACGTTAGGAAGTATTCCCCTCTGTTAATGCATCTGCCACAACCTTTACCTCGTTCTTCTTGTACTGTTTCACAGAGATCACAACGCCCGATCCCTTCAAAGATGTCATACACACGGAAAGGCCGCCAAATCTCGACGCGCTGATTGGGGACAAGCAGCAGCAGAAACCTGCACAGCAGCTGCAGCAACAACACATCGAGAGTGTCACCTACAGCGTCAGCAACTCTTCCGGCATCAAAGCTGCAGCAACAGCAGCAACAACAGTTGCAACCACAACCACAAAACAAACATCGCAAACATCGATAGACAAAAATGAGATACACAAACTGGATGAGCTGCTGGAAGAGCTGTTGGGCATGAACCTGCCCACCAAGGTGCACAGCAGCAGCAGCACAGTGCCGCCATTTAAAACATTGCCAACAGCAGCAACAGCAACAGCAACAACGACAACTACTGCGCGCCCAACTGCCACACCTACCGCAGCACGTGGCCACAAGAAGGGCAACAAACCAAAGCAGAAAACATCGAGCAATAGACGCAACCAGCCAGCAACAGCAACGACAAAACCATCCCGAAACAAAGGTCAAGTGACCACGCGTCGAACACCCGCGAGCAACAGCAACGGCAACAGCAACCTAAACAGGAACAACTCAATGGGCAGCACAGCGCAAACAAGTGCTAAAACCAAAAATACGTCAGTGACAACAACAACAACAGCAACAACAGCAGCAGCAACAAGCACGACAGCAGCAACAACAACAACAGCAGCAGCAGCAACAGTAATTGCTTCCAGCACAGTGCATCCATTTTTAATGTCACCATTCGACAAATTGCCCTTCATGGACACCAGCTACGAGGTGCGACAACAGCAGCAGCAGCAGCAGCAACAGCAACAGCAACAGCAACAACAGCAACAGTTGCAACAATTTCATCATTATCAGCATGCGCCAAGCAGCAGCAGCAGCACAACGACAACAACAGCAGCAACACCACCAGCAGCAGCAGCAGCAGCAACAACTGTTGCTGGGGGCGAGGGGCTAATGGATCCTACGGGCATACTAAAATTAGCCGGCTGCAACATTTACGGCCGCATGTATCGAGTGGGTCGCATTATCGTGGAGCTATCCAATCAATGCCTCGAATGCAAATGCACCGAGGTGGGCGTCAAGTGCGGCCCATTAGACTGTTAATTTAAGCCACGCCCCCAGGACCCCCTCCCCCCACTAACTTTAAGTCTGTGTGTGTGTGAGTGTGCGAGTGTTTAACATTTAAGGGTTGACCTTTACGGTTTTAGCTCTGAACTTAAGCATTTAGTATATAGATTAAGCTCATATATAAATAAATATATTTATATATATTTATATATATATTTAATATACATAGTTACGTGCCTAACACTAAGTTGTATTATAGACATAGCTGCAGCACCTTAAGTCTAACCAAATTTTGAGCTAACTTCAGTGCATTTAAAAAATGTTTTATTAATTAAGAAGCATAAAAAGCATATTTTAAATATTTAATTTTTATTATAAAAGCTATATATATTTTATATAATTATATATAAAAATAAAAACTCGTATTTATTAATTCACTTAACATTTTAACGATAAATAATAATTTAAAAATGAGCATTTAGAGAAAATTTCCGATAACTGCCAACATAAATTTGTTTGAGATCAAATCAATTCCAATGAGTCATTGAGAGTACATAAATTCCATGATCGATGCTTAATAAAAAATATAAATAAATATAACGAAAAACATTCCTCTACATAATAATCGCTGATCCACTTTAGATAGGCTAACATAAATATTTAATTAGCCTTACCTTAAGCATTGTGCAGCTCATGAGCTGGCTCATCAAATCGTGTCTATTAAAACAATTCGAGGGTGTAAAATTAAGGCATACAAATTTATGCATGCCCTTAAAGAGGTGCCACCGCGTCAATCGCTTGACCATAAAAACCAAACTGAGCAGCAAAAGCTGCCAAAAATTTGCTTTTTCCGGCGGACTTGAGTTGAATTGTAAATTTTAAGACTAATTTAAGGCAGCTCTAATTATAGAACCGATCAACGTTAATTACAAATTTCGAGTCTCCGACGGGAATCGCCTGTAGATGAGAAAACCGGATAACAGTCCACCCAGGCCCCCGCCCAAGTGGGCCTCCAGACTGATGCGCGGATTCCGATTGTGATTGAGGCAAAAGTGAAAAACTGTGTACGCCACGTTGCTGACGAGCAAGATCAAGAGGACGGCGATGCGCCAAATGCGATGCGACAACTTTGAAAAATTCTATGGGAAAAACCAAAAACAAAAGCAAAAGTTAATGAAAAATTAAAAAAAGCCAACAACGTCGGGCATAGCCGACTACATGATACGCTGTTCACAGTGCATAAGCTGAAACTGAAAGTAGTCGAAGTTCGGTTTGCTGCTTGCTAACCTGTAAGCAGTTACTGTCAAACTGAACTCTGCCGACTTGCTGACTCCGTAACTGTTCTCAGTTACTCTCAAACTGTACTTAGAGAGTTGAAAAAGGCGCAGTGAGAGAGGCTCGCTGACATTGCAATGGATCTCACACCTTAACAATGTTGAGTCTTGAATGCACCTCAAACTGTAGCAGTTGTAGAGGCATTGATAAGAAATGGAAGCTCGCTGCTTTTAAAACTGAATGTTAAGCTGTAATAAAAGTGGACTCAATAAGATATAAATTGGAGGACTGTAAAACTGTAAATTGTAGCCCTTAAACTGTAAGCGAAAGCGAATGTTGTCTGGCCGAGATAGATGCTGCTGAGGATGACCTCAGTAGCAATAAAAAATGGCTCTCAGACTATAAGCAATGGCTCTCAAACTTTCATGTTAGATGTGTAAAGACTAATGCTTAAGCTAATGTATAGTTCAAGGCCTTATGTTGAGAGTCAGAATCAGAACACTGCAAAACTGTAAGCAGGTGCTTTCAAACTGTAAGTATGAATAGTGAGCATAAGTCATCAATTAGTGGCTTTCAAGCTGTAAAAGAATGTTCAAACCAATATGCCCGATTGCAGCACGTGAACAGCGTATGACAGAGTATACAAAATAAATTAAATTGCGGTCGCATTCGATTTAGCCACAGTTGACTGACCAAAACCAGGTGGGGCACATGACTGCACAGCATGGCATAGACGCCCGCCGATGCGCCGAGCAGCGAGAGCTCCGGCAGCAGCCAGGCGTTGGCCAAGCTGCCACAAAGGCCGCCCGTTACGTAGACCACGCCCACGCGCCAATGACCTTGCTCCAGCTCCAAACAGACGCCAATGAAGCACTAGACGAAAATCACAATCAAAAGTGGCTCAAAGTGTACTGTGCAGTGGATGGGACCCACCTGCAGGCAGATGTTGATCCCCAGATGCCACACGTCAGCATGGAGCAGCATGTAGGTGACGAAGCGCCAATACTCGTGCCCCAGCTCCGGCTTGAAGATGAGGCGCCGTTGCATGCACGCGTTGACAATCAAATGCAGCGCAATCTGTGAGTAGACAAGACACAAATGAGTGACCTTAAACGATAGACATTAAGACATTACACTCAGCTACAAGACTGAGGGCGAGCATGTGAAAGTCTGCTCTAGATGTAACTGCTCGACTCCCCACCTGGCTAATGCATAATGGAGTTAAAAAGTGTAAGGGTTCTCCTGTCGGGAGTCTTAACTAGGAGATACCCTTACCCCGCACATAACTGACATTCCAATCACTCTACGCCTCTCTGTGAAATGTGTATTTATATTTTGTTCTATATGTTTCATATATTTCTGGCTTCTTTAATTTAGTTTTTGCTTATTCACAAATTTATTTATGTTCAATTTCAATTTCTGTCCAAGTCTTTTTCACCTTTAAGGTAAACTATTTTGAGTATTGTTTTTATAAATATTATCTAATTAGTATTCATAGTGAATTTTGTGTGCTTGCCTCGAGCCAAGGTACTTAGATGATTTGCCTTAGATAGCTGACCGGAGTGAAAGCTACAATTGGATTCTTGAAAATAAAATACAACTACACTATATCAATATCTATATATAAATACATATGAATATATTTTCTATGTAATATTTTCTCTTATGTCGCACTTTTATATATTTTTTCTCGAGTGGTAAGTTTTCATTCTATTATTATTTTGATACGTTTTCTCATATATATATATATCACACATATATATATATATATATATATATATATATATATATATATATATATATATATATATATATATATATATATATATATATATATATATATATATATATATATATATATATACTATAGACACGTGTACTTTGTAGGACGGTGTAATCGATCAGAATGTTACAAAAAACAAATGATGTCAAGCCATCTGTCACTTTCGCTTAGCATCAGCCAAGTGTTGGACGTCCCAGTGTGAGTGCCAAGAAGCTTCAACACATTGTGCTGTCAGACAGCACAAGGCAACAGCAGCAGCAATAGCAGCTATGCCAAATCGGTGCAACATGCATCACACCAAATATGACAAATGCCAGTTGCAACAATTTTGAAGCCAGCATCGAAGCTAACTGAAAAAGGCAATAGCCCAGTCGATTGTGATTGTGGAATTTGGAAGTGGAATTGGAATTGAAGTTTACGGAATTATGTAACATGGCATGGAATATCTTAAGCCAAGCCCAAAAGCAATTAACAGATCTCGACTCGTGCGACGATTGCAAATAAAAAGTTATAAAACAAGAGGCAGCAAATAGCAAATGGCAAATGGGTCGACTTTTGTGATAGGGAAACACTTGTGCGACTTCATCAAAGCTGGCGCAGTGAGTGATTGGGTGAGTGGGTGAGTGGATGCAACCACTTGCACTGCAAACCACATTCGCACTTGCTGCAAGACGGCAGCAGCCAGGCAAACGCAGAGCATTTCACATGCGCGCAATCAATTGGAACAGTCAACCAAAGAGGCTGACTGGAAAAGGAATGAAAACTTTAGCTTAGCTCAGAAGTAGTTATCAAATGTAGAGCTTGAAAAGCATATACAGATATAGCTTCGACTTGACACATCAGAGCAAGGCACTGCCTTAGTCGATGTGTCATGATCAACATTGATTTTATTTGTTATATAAAAACTATAAAAATAAAACACTATAATAATAAAAAGTAGAGTTTTATCATATTTATACTGTTATATTCTTGTGCATGATTATATGAAATTATATATAGATATATGTATTACTTTGAAAAGGGCCTAAAAATAAATATAAATTAAATAAACAAATATTTATCATATATATATAGTTTGAAGCTTAAGGAATTTTTTATTTACTTTAAACTTATTTTAATTAATTTTAATTCTATTAATATAAAACACGAAAAAAAGGATAAATATTGAAAATAAAGTTTAAAATACTTATAAGTTTTACTGAGCTTTTATAAATCGATGGATATAAATCTATTACTAACTGACGTCGCCAGGTTAGTCACAAAAAATTCCAACCACACAAAATAATATATATATATATATATATATATATATATATATATATATATATATATATATATATATATATAATATTTTAAATTTATGTATAAAATAAATATAGTTTAAAAAAAATGTCATCGTTTAATATTCTTATTATGAGCTTTTATCTACCAATCTTTGCTTTTATTAAGGTAGATATTTAAATAATATGAAAATTAATATAAAAATTTGCTTAGACTGTACTCGTTCGTGTTTAAATGATTATGGAGAAGGCTAGAGTCTCTAAATAAAAACCCATAATTATATACACATATATACACATTTATAGACATATATTTATGATGTCCCAGAGGTCTTGATTGTTGGACAGACGCAAAGTTAACAGTTTTATATTTTAATATTCATTGATTGAGTCACTTTCAATAAGTGGCTAACTGATTTCCTACATTTCGTACAAGGGTGTACAAGGTCGCACTAATAATGAGTAATTACGTTATCGTCTGCAAAAGTGACCGATAACACAATTGATATTCGGCGTAACTCACGTTAGCTCGCCGAATAATGCAGTTAATGACGAAATACCTGTAAAAAAGACATCTGCAAGAGGAACCATGGCACCCGCCAGCGACGTCGCTGCTGCTGCGAAATCTTTCGCAGCGGAGCCTGCGACTCCCACGACAGCAGTAGTCTTGCATCCTTTGTGTCCTGTTTGCTGTCAATGTGTTGCATTGCCCCTACACGCGCACGCCCAAAGACTTTTTGATCGATAGCTCAAATACTTAGCAAAATAAAATTCAAGCAGCACGCGACGTCCGATGCGTTGAGCGTTAAATACGCGACTGCACAACATTTGATAAACATACACACAAAACATTTTACTTTTGTTGTCGCCTTTTTACCTGAAGCTACAAAAATACACAGCTAGCAAGCCAATTTAAAAAGTGTAGCATACTTTTGTGCGTTAACTAGATTTCACTTGGTTTGTGTCTTGGCTAAAGTGACCAACACGGAATTTGCCTAATGATTCTTATGTATTTTTGAGATATAATGTTAATGTTAATAATTAAATTTATATATTATTATTAGTAATTTAGCATTTTTATATAATAGCACAATTAAGTAAGTCTATACTTTAAGTTTAATTAAAATAGTTTCATTATTTTCATCGAATTATCGCTCGTTCTATTTTATACCCATGCAGGCCAAGCGAGCTTATGTGCCTGTGTGTACGTGTGTGTATATCAGCTCTGATAAAATTCTACCTGTCTACTAGCCAGTACTTAATAAATCTCTAGCTTTTGCTGTGCTCACACAGACGGATAGATGGACAAACGGGCATGGCTCGATCGGCTCAGCTCGTCGTCCTGATCAAGAGTTTATATATTTGGTGCCTGCCAAGCTTCGTTTAGCCTGTTATATGCTTTATAAAGGGCTCAGTGTATACAAATATATTTGTGGCGCTATAAAACATATAGAAGAATGCCAATATAATTATCTACAATCCGTAATCATTAGCTTAAACAAAAGAGTCAGTTGAAAATTATTCACAATTTCCTTTTCACTTTTCATTTCACACGCTGAGCCTAAAATTAAAATACTAAAAAAATACCAAAACTTGATCAAATTCGAACAGCAGTTGAAATACTTGAGAGTAAAACATTTCATTGGCAAAGTAAATTGTTCCCAGCTCGCAGACATATTTCTGACTTGTGGCATCTGACAGCGAGCCATTGGCAATTGCATTCAACATCAACAACAGCAGCAGCAGCAGCATCCTTGGCATTTGACATTTTGGCCAAATCAAACAGAAGTCCAATTGCCAGCAGCCAGCAGCCAGTTGCAGTGGCAGTGGCAGCTGCAGTTGCAGCAACAACAAAGCGAAAACCCGCCGTGTTTACACGATAAATTTGTCGTTGTTGTTGGCGTGGTGAAAAGCTTTTGCGAGCTAAGCACAATCAATGCTCATTTGCTCAGTTTGGCAGTCGCTTGGGCTCGCTCTCTCGGACAGGGCACGTGGCACGTGGAGCAGCGCCTGTCTGCTGCCAAGCCAGAGCCTCATGAATCCCAACAGCGAAACATTTACATAAGCCAAGCGAAACCAAAACGAACTCATTAAGAGTCTCCCTCCAGCCGAAGCTCCAGCTGAAGCTGAAGGCTACGTGCCAAAACAGTCCCTGCCGGACTTTGCACATGTCCTGTTTTTTCTATTGTATTTTAAGGTCAACTACGCCAGCCAACTAGAGGAATCTGAAGTGGCTGAACGCATCGGCTTGAACAGCGCAGCTTACTTCGTCCTTGCAGCTCAAACTATTTTTATTTTAAATATTTTAATTTAATTGTTCTACTGTATATCTGTCTGTCTGTCCGTACGTCCTTCCGTTCGTCTATCAACGCAAGCCATTACGCCGGAGGAGTATTGGGCAGTCGGTGCCGCCCGACTGCAGCATTCTGACTTGTTTCTTTTTGGTAATTGGTAAATTTTCGCATTTTCTATCGGTTGTTATCGGATTTGCAGTAATACCCCTAATGGGCTACGAGGATAAGCCATGGCGGAGCCTATGCAAAATCTAACTGAAAATCAACAGCTGCATTTTCCTGGCGTTTTCTTGGCACAGCTTCGACTCATTATTATTGCGGGCTCAGACACGCAGCACGAAAAAAACGTTTAGGCAAATCTTGCCAGCAAATCTCCAGCAAACAAAGGGCGTAAGGGCGTATGAGCTGTGGGCGTGGCGCTTGAATGTTTGCCACTTGATTGAGTGACTAAAGCGTCGTCACTTGGGACACACAAGAGCTAGTTGAGGACCCTTTGCCGTAGGCGTGGCACTAGAGTTTATGAGCGCTATTTTATTGATAACGCCAAAGGGAGCCAATAAAAGAGCCTGGAGAAAGGGTGGCAGCAAGAGAGGGCATGGGCGAGCCGAAGAGGCAGAGTGTCATAAAACGCAACGTCTGATTAGCCAAGGAATTGGGCGTGTTTATGGCCCGAGCTGAGCAACTGCAATAACAATGAGCAGTTGAAGCAGCAACTGGGATAATGTCGAAATAGCAAAATAGACTGAAGGATGCTATCAAAATTTAAAGATGCAAATGATAGAGTTGGCGAGTTAGTGGAGAGGCATTAGAAGGGAGAAGGCAGCAGGAAAAGAGGCAGGAGGCAGAAGCAGACCGAGGGAGACCGAGAGGCTAAGGTTAGGATTAAGCTGCGGCTAACTGTACAAGTGACACAATATGTGACTGTGTGTGTGATGTGTGTATGCATCTGTATGCGTAGTAGTATGTATGTGTGTTGGAGCCAACTCGTGTGTGTGTGTGTGTGTGTGAGTTGTGTTTGTATTTGTGCGGTCTTAGCGCGTGCAAAGGCATAAGCCTCAAAGCAGCTCCATAAGATGTGTGTAAGCAGTTCCCTCTCCATATATAAACACACACACACACACCCACACACACATATGTCATGTATGTGCTGCATGTGTGCCGTCTATATGCTGTGCGTGCCTCAGTTGCAAACTCAATTATTAACTATGCGTAAGCAAAAGGCAACACCTTCGGCTTGCTCTTCTTAACAAGTAACTTCATTCCGTGCTACAGCACGGCCACGCCTACTCACACTAACATCCACCGACCGCCCCTCTCCACTCAGTACGCAGCTGTCAGCTCTTGGGAAATTTGCATTTTATCATCCATGTGTTGGGTCCTAATGCTGCAAGGGGCTTTGCTTTTAATTGGTTTTCTTTAGCGCTGCGCTAGAATTAACGTCTTTTGTTGTTGTTGTTGTTGTTGTTGTTGCTATATAGTTGTTAATTTGGGCGGAGGCTGAGGCGGTGGCTGAGACTGCGGCTGCGTCTGAGGCCATAACTTATAATTGTTTAATTAGCAAGTAAAATACGGTGAAAATATGTGGAAATTATTGGATCAACCACACAGAATGCAGTGCAAATTGTTCTCCTGCCACAACGATGAAGCCAAGCAAAACAATGCAAATTGCTTTAGGAGTCATTTCCGTAAAGGTATGAAAATTCAATTAACCTGTAGATAATTAGAAATGTTGGACAAGATGATAGATGAAACCATTATTATATGAGATTAAATTAGAGTAAATGAGGTGAATTATATTGGATGAGTAACTGATGAGCGCATCGTGGAATGTGAGTCAAACAAAATGGAAATGAAACACTTGAATATGATAAGTGAAATAAGTGTGTGAGCAATACAAAATGGAAATGAAACGCAGTAATATGATAAGAAGCCAAATAGGAATGAATGTGAAACAAGGTGGAAATGAAGCAATTGAATGTGATTGAAGCGAAATATGACTGCATGTGAAACAATGGGGAAATGAAAACTTGAATATGATAAGAAGTGAAATAAATATCTGACCGATACAAAATGGAAATGAAACGCAGTAACATGATATGAATAGGAATATGAGTGAAACTAAATAGAAATGAAATACAGTAATCTGATAAGAAGCGAAAGAGGAATCTATGTGAAACAAGGTGGAAATTAAACACTTGAATATGATAAGAAGTCAAATAAGAATGTGCTCAAACCAAATGGAAATGAAACGCAGTAACATGATATGAATGGGAATGTGAGTTGAACCAAATGGTAATGAAATACAGTAATCTGATAAGAAGCGAACGAGGAATCTATGTGAAACAAGGTGGAAATGAAACAATTGAATGTGATAAGAAGTAAAATATAAATGTATGTGAAACAGGGTAGAAATGAAACACTTGAATATGATAAGAAGTAAAATAAATATGTGAGTTATACAAAATAGAAATGAAATACATGAATATGATAAGAAGTGATATAAGAATGTGACTCAAACAAAATGTAAATGAAACGTAGTAATATGATATGAATGGGAATGTGAGTTGAACCAAATGGTAATGAAATACAGTAATCTGATAAGAAGCGAAAGAGGAATCTATGTGAAACAAGGTGGAAATGAAACACTTGAATATGATAAGAAGTAAAATAAATAATATAAGAAGCGAAAAAGGAATATTTTAAATATAAATAATATAGTTTATAAAAATAAAATGTTCTCTATTTACAAACAACAAAGCTAAATATATATTATTTTCGCTCAGTGTATTCGTGGTTCTACATTTAATAAACTAAAAGCATATTGTGCGCCGCTGAACTCCGAAGATATTTATCTTAAACGTATGCGCATTATCCACTCAATAGAACCATTTTTATTACGACAACAAACTAAACAAATATGGGGTCAAATACGAGTGCCGCGCGATGTGGCAACTTAGTGCAGAGCGTGCAACAAAACGAGGCAGTTTACAAAAAAAAGGGAGAAAAATGATACAAGTCATGAATTGGCTTTCTATGGCAAGTTCTACAGAGAGTTTATTAAATTTCTCGAATTTACTTTTGCCCCTCTCTAGGCCATAGGCCTGATACCGCTCAATCGTCAGCTATCGCAGTCCAACATTGTGCTGGACTATGCCATGATGGTGATTGTGCCGTGCCTCTATTTGGGCTCCTATTTAGGCATCATTCTGATGGAGAGATTCGGCTTGCCCTATCTCGATGCTTGCAACAGCGTCTGCCGGCTGAGCAACAACCTGTTCATGCACCTGGGCGCCTTTCTCTATGTGACGATCACCCTGCTCAGTCTCTATCGGCGCAAACAGTTCTTCGTGGAGTTCGAGACGCGTCTGGCTGAGATCGATGTGGTCATCCAGAAGTGTCGACGCGTTGCCGAACTGGACAAGGTGCGCGCCCAGGCGGTCAAGCACAGTGTTGCCTACCATTTCACCTGGCTCTTTGTCTTCAGTGTATTCATCTTTGCCCTGTACTACGACTCCAGGGAATTATATCTGTGAGTATGATAAGAGTATCGCAAGATGCTCTGCTCTAGATAAGAATAGTGGCAATGATAATAGAATTTGAAATGAAAGTGAAACGTAATGGAAATGAAACGCAGCAATGTGACAAAAAGTAAATAAAAAAGGATGAAATAGAAGTATGGGTAAAACAAAATGGAAATGAAACAAAATAATATGATACAGAACTATATTAAAAAGTGTTAGGCACAATGGAATCGAGACACAACTCAGTTTACGACTCAGTGCCACTAAAACGAAACGATTTAGAAACGAAACACTACTAAAACACTTTCATAAAAACAACTGAAATAAATAAAGTGAAATTGAAACACTACGGAAATGGCATCATACGTTCGTAAAGGCGGAACAATATGATAATGAAATTTAATACCAGATATCACGAAGCAGACAAAGTCGAAATGAAACGAATATTAATAGAAATGTGAAATAAATTGGAATTGAAACATAACACAATACTCTTACGAAAAAAGTGGAACGCTCTAAAATAGATAAAATGTGTTATAGACACATAAAAATAAACGAAATGGAAGTGAAACACTATGAAATATGTTTTAGAAATGAAAGTGCCGAAGACCCATAAGCTTGATGGGCAGCTTATTAAAACAAAGTATAATAAAAATAATTATTAGGTACAAAGCTAAAGGAAATATTATTATTTTATTAAAATAAATCTGTTTTCGTATTAAGTCAATTAATTTTTTAATCATTTCATTAATTTTAAAGACTTATTCATATTTCTTATAAAATAAATTGTTTCTATTTTTTTTGTTTTATTATTATTATTTTTAGTTAATATATTTAAACACTGTTTAATCAAACTTTCGTTTATTTATTTTTGTATTCGGTTCAATTTATTATCATATCCTAAATAAGGAAATCCGCCTCGACGGCCACCATAGGCCATACTATAAATCACTTTACAAGAGTCAGTCTCTACCCCTCTCTGTCTGTCTCTACCTCTCTCCTTCTCTCTCTCGCTCACATTGTCAGCACCTTTGGCGAGTATGCGATAATACCATTTATGGTCTCGAGCTTTCCATATCTGGCTGGCAGCATTATTCAGGGCGAATTCATCTATCATGTGTCTGTCATTTCGAATCGCTTCGAGCAAATAAATAAGCTGTTCGAGAAGATTAACCAGGAGGCGCGTCACCGCCACGCCCCGCTCACCGTCTTCGACATCGAGAGCGAGGGCAAGAAGCAGGAGCGCAAGCCAACGCCCGCTGAGAAAGCGGCCGCCACCAAAGCCATCTACAGCAACGATCCCAAGCTGGCGGATGAGTTGAAGCGCCAAAAGGCACTGCCGGCCAAGCAACAGAACGAGGATGAGCTGAACACCAGCGATGAGGAGGACGACGACATATTTGACTACAACGAGGGCATGATGGAGGAGAACACTGAGTGAGCTTTAAGACATAGAAAACCCAGCTCATATATTTAAGCAACACTTGAGTAGCTGATGCCATTAGCTTAGAATTACTGAAAATATTAAGACTGCTTTTATTTCATATCATTTTTATACCCTGAAAGCATTTGTTGGTACAAGGTATACTCTAGTCGGACACTCGCTTACTTTTGCATATATTAATAGAAATATTGAATATTCAGGGTATCTTCTAGTCGGGCACTTTCGACATAAGTAGAGCACACTTACTTATGTATAGAAATATTTGTGGATATACATATTAATTCAGTCAGGGTATCTCCTAGTCCGACACTCCCGACTAGAGCAAGCTTACTTATGTCTATATTAATATATATATAAATTGATTCATTCAGGGTATCTTCTAGTTGAACACTCCCTTACGATTTCTATTTATGAGCTTTGATTCGACCCCATTTTGATTACTACCGTAGCACCACTTCGGAGGCCAATTTGCCGGATTTGTTTAAGCTGCATGACAAGATACTCGCGCTGAGTGTTCTGACCAACGGAGAGTTCGGGCCACAGTGTGTGCCCTATATGGCTGCATGCTTCGTGGTCAGCATCTTTGGCATATTCCTCGAGACAAAGGTCAACTTCATAGTGAGCGGCAAGAGCCGCCTGCTGGACTACGTGACCTATCTGTATGTCATCTGGAGCTTCACCACCATGGTGGTGGCCTACATTGTGCTGCGCCTCTGCTGCAATGCCAACAATCACTCCAAGCAGTCGGCGATGATTGTGCACGAGATCATGCAGAAGAAGCCCGCCTTTATGCTGAGCAACGATCTCTTCTACAACAAGATGAAGTCCTTCACTCTGCAGTTCCTGCACTGGGAGGGCTATTTCCAGTTCAATGGCATCGGTCTCTTTGCACTGGACTACACATTCATATTCTCGGTAAGGCACATTCATTTCACTCGTTCACAAACCCGAACTGAGAGCATATTAGGTGTGGCTAGAGGTTTAATATTTTGAATATCTGTCAGTTATATTAGTGAACCTAAGAAAAATGCCCACTAAAACGAAAGGAATACTCGTTCATACAGGGAAAAGAGCATATTAGCATTCGTTCACATTGAAAGTAAAGATTTTATACTTGAAATGTCTCTTTATGTCTACCTGGAGAGTTCTACTCATATATAGTACTCATATATAATAATCATATATAATATAGTTTAGAGAGCTATAACCATTCTGAGCTGAGTTTTATTAGGCATACCTTTAATAGAAAACTTTTCGTATTGTCTTAAGATTTGAATTTTTCAATTTTATTATTTTATATTTGAATTATTTTTCCGATATTTTTAGTATCTTTAAGTATTTTTAAATGCTTTTCAGATATTTTTAAATACTTATCAGATATTTGTGATATGGTTTTGGGCATTTTAAAATACTTTTCAAATATTTGAAGTATTTTTTAAATATTATTTAGTGGCTGAGCTCTGGTAACAGCAGACCAGAAAGTAAAAATCGTTTAACTTGAGTTCATTTTCATTGAACTTCCAATGTGAGCGAGTATTAAGCCGTCGTTTGATCATTTTTCCAATTTATACTTTAATGATTTTTCATAATATTTTTTTTCGAAAATTTTCAAATTAATTCCATTTAGTATTATATTGAAAAGTTCGAAGGGAAACTTTAGTTAGCTCATTAACATAGGGAACTAGCTTAAGCACCCTGATCGGGTATTAAACAGTCGATTATCTTCGATCTCACTTATTTTATATATTTTTTTACAGACTGTGAGTGCTGCCACCTCTTATTTGATTGTCCTGCTGCAGTTCGACATGACAGCAATATTGCGCAACGAGGGCCTCATGACCTAAACGTTTCGGTCCAGTTCAATTAAATGTGAACGTGTTTTTCATTTATGTTTTTCTACACTATTTGCGTGTCACATTTATGCACTTTTATTGAGCACTGCAAAAAGTTGAATTTGCATACGAAATTCACACGATTGAAAGCTTTAAGTATATTAAATATATGAAATATATTTTGATTATTTACTCAAAGGGAAAAGTATTTTAATTGAATTTCAATTTGAAAAGAGAAAATTTATAAATGATTAAATTTCCGATTTAACAGAACATTTATTTTCATATTAAAATATTTATTGATTTATTTTTTTGCCATTCTGACTTCATTTGTTGCCCATCAGTTTTTAGTTCCCCGCCGAATACTCGCCCCAAACTAGTCTTCAGAGTAACTCTGACCCTGAATGTGGCACAAAAGCCTAACGCAACACGACAGTTGCTGATGTTCGGTGCCGTTAATCGCATCAGCGCGCGTTGCTCAACACTGCGCGGTTAACCCAAGGTAGCTGCAAGGGCGGCGAGTGGCGAGGGGCTAGGCGCCAGGAACTTCGCTCTAACACAATTTTATCAACTGTCAATTGAAAAACACGATTTGCCAGTCATTCAGGCTTAACTAGAGAGTGGAAAGAGGAAGAAGGAAGCGCGTGTGAAGTGCTGAGCCGCCATTTTGTGGCTGTCAAACGGAAGCGGCGAAACGTAAAGCAAAAAGTAAGAACCTGCCGCAATTTCCGCTTTCAATCACGTTTAGCACAGCGGAAATGTGCACAAAATTCGCTTGCACTTTGGAATTTGCCACAGCTGAGATATATAGTATGTAGGGATCTATCGAAGTGGGCTCAATTAACACAAGGAGAGAGGAAGAGGGAGAGGGAGAGGGAGAGTGCGATGGCAGCAGAGCGGAGCCTCCAAAGTGCAGGCAATCAATTAATGTTTTCGTTATTATGAAAGCTTGTCAAATAAAATTGATTTTCATGTGAGACTCGCTGTGTGTGAGTGAGTGTGTGTGTGGTGTTGGCCAGGCCAGGCCAAGTGTGGCTTATATTACACGGCAGCAAGTGATACGATGTGTGGAGCCTCATCAATGCCATAAATCAATACGACGCGTAAATGTCACATGTTTGACCAGTATCGTTGCAACTTTATGGAGAGCGAAAGAGACAGACAGAGAGAGTGAGAGTGTGGGTGAGGGAGTGTGTGTGTGGCAGGCAGAGGGCCAACAGCAGCAGCAACAGGCCACACATTACCTGCAAATTACGTCAACTGTTGCCTGTAGCACAAGCCACTTGAATGACTGCCTCGCTCTCTCCTGCGCTCCTGCTCGGCCGCTCTCCCACTCTCCATCTGTCTCTCTCTCCCACTGCCAGGACGCAACGTGACCAAGTGAAATGTCAGGGCACTTTTAAGAGTTCATTTGAAATGTAGCAAATTGTATAAACTACCAAACAGGACGAGCAGACAGACAGGACGAGCAGACTGGGACTGGAACTGGGACTGGGACTGGGACTGGGACAGGCTCTGGCATAGACAACGTAGCGCACATTTATTGGTGGGCGAGTTCAATTCACACACAATGCCAACAGGTTGTTGTCGTTGTCGTTGTCGCCATTGTTTGCTGTTGTTGTTTAAGTAATTGACACTAAAATGCATTGGCCTTCAACCCAGCTCGCATGGGCTGTCCACAGCTGTGAACTGATTATGCTAGAGTCTTTGGCTCTGGCAGCTGAATATACAAAAGGCTGTTGTGCAACACTGGCAAGTGCTTCCTAGACTGTGGCTGAGCTCATGCAAAGGTGAATCTATAAAAATATCACTCGATAGACTTTATTTGGCTGTGGCGCAGTCAGGGAATGACCAAAATTGAAGATCCTTGAATTAACTCAGTTTTAATTTCAAAAAATCTTGATATAGCTAACCCTTAACTTACAGTATCTGGAATGTAGGTTCAAAGCATTCAAGTTTACCTATGAGAAAAAGAAAATCCTTAAACCAGCTCACATTCTACCTAGTTGCCAGCCATTTGATGTCCAACTACAAACTGATTTCAACTTTGATACAATTTCTGGCGAAAGAGGTAAGAAAACTCTTGTGCCCAACTAGGAGATACCCTGAACCTTATATCTTGTATTTATGCATGCACCAATTGGAGTCCAGCCAGAGTCTCCAGCACATCATGTAGCAGACGCAAGACTTAATTGAAATGGATAAGCTGAGAGACCTACATAAAACACTTCCAGTCTCTAGACGGCTGGATCGACTCAGCTCTTCGTGCTGTCGAGAGCCTGTTAGCTTATGATTAGTAGCTGTGGGTGGCAACTCTGGCGCAAAAGCTTTTACACTACAGGTGTCTGTGGCTCGACGAACAACAGAGAGCAGCAGCAGCAGCAGCAACAGGAGCAACTGTGGTGAGTTGAGCATAGCGCGCGCTCTCTCAGTCAGATACAAACGCCCACACACACACGCGTGCACACACACACACACACACACTCAGACAGGAAATATCCTTGAGAAGACAAGCAAACACCCTCGCCCAAGCGCAGGCAAATTGTGCGAGGACTTTGCCGCCTGCTGCTGCTGCTGCTGCTGCTGCTGCTGCCGCTGTTGTCGACCAAATCAAATCAAACTGATAACAAATAGCAACAACAACAACAACAACAGCAACAACGATAACAACTGGCTGACAGCATGCGTGAGAGAGCGTCGCTCGTTCGTTTCTTCCTTCGTTCGCTCGTTCATTCACTCGTGCCACACACGAAGCGGCGCTTGCAGAACATATTTGAACTTTAAAGGACTCCTGGCAGCTGTTGGCGGACCAGTTCGTGGCGGAGTTGCAAGTGCGTTGGTTGTGCGACCAGAAAGGAATCGAAGCCAAACAGTGTACGTGTGCCTGTGCGTGTGTCAGTGTGGGTGGCTGCCTACACATACACATAGTAGAGTGTCTCTGTGTGTGTGTGTCTATGTTTCTGCCTCTGTGTGTGCTGCTGTAATGAAAAGCGAAAGTTCTGCGGGCGGCATCGAATTTTGTGTGGCAAATTTAATTAACAGTTAGTCGCCAGAGTACACACACACACCCCAAATTCCAGCTCGTATGCCCCATTTTGTCTAGTGTTAAGGTGTTTTTTGCTTTCGAGCGAATGAGGCGATATGCGTTTTGGCTTTGGCCTCCGAGACGCACTGTTGAATAACCAGCGCAGAGATGCGCAAATGGCGCCGCGTGGGCGTCTGCCTCCAAACAAAAAGCAAGCAAAAAAAAGTAGTAGCAGCAGCAGCAGCAGCAGCTATGTATGTGCCCCGCCCCCTGCACAGCTATAGATATATCTGAGATTTCTACTTACAGGTTGTTCTTTTTTGCTTTCTGTGACCTTGCAGCAAAGTAATAAAACTTTTGCTCCAAGAATCTGTTTTGCATAGTCGAGGCGGGGTAGAGGTACGCCGAGCACATTCGGAAGTACAAAACATAACTTTAATGGCTTGCTCAAGTTTACAATAGCTAAAAGCCATCAACTAGAGAAATATAAACATTTTGTTTCATGTTTGTAGCTTGGCTTCAACTTGAGTTCAGGCGCAGAGCGAAAACTAAATGTGCCACAAATTTACTGCAGCAAGAAGCGTTGTTAGGACTGATAAGTTTAGCGCTTAACGCACAGCTCAGCTGCTCTTAAGAGGCAGCTGTCAAGGCAGTCGAGCAAAAAGTTGGTTTGAACAGAGCTCAAGCTGCTCGCTCGGTATTGCCCAAGCCAAAAGAAAGAAGCAAAGCTGAGAAGCTAAACTTCTTAGCTGTCAACTAATAGAAAACAATTTTAAAAGCAATCCAGAGACAAAGACATTCTAAAGCCTTTGTCGCTTCTCTCTTCATGTTCCACGAGCAAAAGGACGGCAAAGAAAAGACAGACCAAAAAAGTCTCGAAATAAGTTGGTGATTAGAAGAAGCAGTGGAAGAAGCTAGAAATAAATGGGTGGAAACTGCTGATAAGCTTCTAAAGAGAGAAGCTTAGTAAAGTAATGAAAACAAAGTCTAAAGCCAAAGCTAAAAACAGACTTGAATGTCAAGTGCTGATAAGACTTTACGATGCCCACTTTAATTATAAAAAAGCAGCAAACTATATTAAAGTAAAGATAAGCAGCTCCTTTGTTCAATATCCATAGACCGTAAAAACAGCTATAAGACTGATAAGATTTGAAGATTTCATTATAACAATGCAGTAGCAGAGAGATGCAAAGAGCAGCAAGTGTCGCTTAGCCGAGTTGCTTCTCGCTTTGACTTACCTATAGAACTGCTCTCGCAAATTCTATCCAAGTTCGATGCATAAATTCTAGACTTGCGGCACAGATTTCTCTGAGGCCGTTTTAATAGCTCTTGCATAGATCTAAACTGTTCGAAGAGTCGCCCGCCCCGGGCTCTACTTCAGCTCGGATTCTGTCGCTTCTCGCTCAACTTTCATTTGGAATCAAATTCTTATTTCCTGCTCGAGCTGCGCATTTAAGGTCCATGTCAACCCGAAGTTGTATTTATTTTTCCATTTCTTTTAAGGCGCTGCTCGGTCACGTCTCTCTTTTTGCCCTGGGCAGTGGGCAATTTGTTGGGGAATTAAATTTGTTGCGTATGCCTCGCCATAAAATATTGTAATTAACTTTGCCCGCTGGCCGAAATACTTTTACTGCGAGCGAGGCAAGGCGTGGGCCTAGGCGTTAATGAGGCAACAGGTTTTTCGGGATTTTGTGAAACGCTTCAATTAACCAACACTAAGAACTTTGCAGCTAATAAATATTCATAAAGTGTACGAATGTGTCGAAGCTTCTTTGCCAACGCCAACTTTCGACTCTCCTTTGAGGCAGCAGCTTGCGGGGCACAAAGTTTCAATTTCATTCATTATTAACAGCGAACTTGTGACTGAAATTGCATCACAGAGCGCCCAAGCCGAAGAACAAACTAATATGTGACATTTCAGCAAAGAGCCAACTTCATCTCTTGGCCATATCCACAGACCCAGCTGACATGGCGCCGATGAACTATA